ATTTTGCTTGTTATGCTTCTTACTAAACAATTATTTTATTTCTACAAAATCTTACAGTGAAATGAAAAACTTTTTACACTTTTTACTTACACCTTTGCATTTGCTTATTATATTCGCTCATATTGTCAGGCCTTATACTTCTTAAAAATCGAATATAATCATCGCTGTGAAATTTTGTCATTTCTTCTTGAGTAGCTTTATGTGGCCTCTGCAAATTAAATAATTTGAAAAATTATTAGAGAAGTCAAAGGTACAAGGTATCACGGAATAATTGACCACAAAATTTTAGTAATTAATCATAATTTTATAAAAAAAATTTTAAGCGTGAATTCATATATGGTCATTTAATTAGTTACTTTTGGTTAATAAAAACTTACATAAATTTCCATTTTTCTATAAAGTCCATAGTTGAGAAGTAAATTATGAGTCATTCGTATTCTGTGAGGCTTCATAGGATGTCCTTGACCATAGTAATAATTTCCTATGTCACCTAAAGAGTAAAGCATTGAAAGATCTTACTACACTTGTTAGGAGATAAACAAACTATAAGTGTTTACAGAAAAAAAAAACAAATTATATTGAAGTAGTATTACAAGTAAATAATATTTTAGTTACAATTTCGTATATAAATTTAAAAAATGATCCAGTTTAAAAAATTCATTTCAAAATTCATTAAGAAAATTCAAATAAATAAATTAATTAAGCTTAATGCCACGGGAGAAATAAGCCTACGGTGTTTTATTTTTTGGCGACCTGACATTTATAGGAAATGTCACGAAAAAGGATTTGTTAGAATAAATGACAAAAAATTATGAATGATTTAACTTTTAATTTTAAAGCCGGTAAATTAAAATTGTGAAAATGTATAAAATGTTAATTTTCATTGTTTAGATTTAATAAAAAACAATTTTTAAAATTTTATTAAACATTAAAAAAGGGGTTTTCTCTAAAGCGGGAACGTTATGTTTACAATCATTTTTAAAAATTACGCTATTATTTAATTTATTTTTACTTACTATCATAGTAGTAGCAAAC